TTATATACATATACATAAAAATGTAAAACTATATCTTTTATGTTAATGTTTTAAAATGTATAAGGACAACATTATTTATAAAGTACTTACGTAATACATAAGTCATTGAATATATACTTTTAGGTATATATAGAACAGCGCATATGGTATTAAAAATTGAAAGAATAACTATGATTACAGGAAATTTTCCGGTTACTCTTATCAAATAACGAGAAAACAGTAGACTAAGGTCGTATTTTTATACATAGGAGGAAATTGGAATAGACACGTTCCGAATGAACTTGTAATATGAATTTGTACAAAAACTCTCATAATCTCTTATGTTTATCAAATCTACAAATTAGATTATAAAATGTAAATTGTACAAATGGGATAAAAATTCACCGCGACCAGTATAGTTCATAGTTACTACGGAGTCAGTACGTTGTTCGTCAGCATTTCCCTTCTCCTGCGTGTGGCGGCTCCACAGTCCATCAGAGAGGTACTGCTGCTTAACAACAATATCCCGGATAGAAGAATACTGAAAAGTAATTCATCGTTCAGATGGCCCGCCTGACTGTCCGATGTGACCAAAATTTCTTGTTCTCAATGTCCTCTTTCAAGGTTGAACTGCACAATAATTTTGTGTAACTTAATTATTAAACCATAGGGACGTATCACAGAGACGCCAGGGTCAGTTCTTTCTACAATCGATTGTGGTTAATATATTTTCTTCGACTGAATTTTTTTTAAATTATACTAAGTCCTTAAAATAATTTAATAAAATTTAATTTTTAATGATTAGATTAATTTTTCAATGTCACATTAATGTACAAATCAATATAAAATTTGAAATAATCGAGAAAATTACACATTTTTGTTGGTTATTTTATATTTTATCAAGAACCAACAAAATCCAATGTTGTACTTATTTATAGAATATGCATTAAATATCTACATACATATATATAAATTAAGGTTTCGAAAAATACGGAAATTCTCTTATTGACTATATTAAATAGATTTATTTTTTTCATGCAGTACAAAAATACCTATGCATATACAAGTAAACAAACACATATACACATGTACTGACGTGCTATAAGAGAGTTTTATATTTTATTTAAGAGGTAGAAATTCAATCAATATTGTTAGAAAATTATTGTGAATATAAGATGGGTGACAGATGAGTCTTTAATTTGGTTTAAAAAGTTTTTCATCAAATACTATCAAAAGTTATTTTATTTTTTTTTTTTTATGTATTAGCTCGTGTGTAATGTGTAACATTATTTTCAGCATATTTGCAATTCAATTGGAAGACAAAATTGTGTTTATTAATTTCAATCCGTCGGTTAATCTCTGTTTGTTCACAAAATTTCTATACAGAAGTTGATGTTGTCATCAGAAATATGGGAAAGCTGAGATATTCCATTTCACTAAAAGTTGTGGCTCTCCTGAAAATGTCATTTTTTTGGCAATACCTGTATTGTATTTATAGCACAAAAGCGATTTGCTTCTTCTAATACAGAATAGCACAATCTAATTATTTTTTGAATTTCCATCATTGTTTATCTGTTAGAGAGTCAGCTATATAGGATGCTCGAAATTATGGCCGCTTCTAGATGATAAATGATTCTGTTTTCGTTAAAAAAATTTTCTCCCCCTCTGAATTATAGTCTCTCAAAATTTCAATTTCTAGAAATTTTTTTAAAACAAATAAGTAACGGTAAATATTTTATTAAAATATTTAATTAATTTATAATATTTAATTAAATACTGTTTAATTCTATATTATTCAAGCTCCTTTTAATTTTTTTTCGTTTCATCCTAAATATATGCAATAATTATGATATGATAAATCATAATAATAATACGATATTAAGAATACAATGCAAATACCTAAAAAATAAATGTGTTTTCATTTGGAAATGTGCTTCGATGCAAGCCATTATTCTTTTATAATCAAAATTTATTATTAGAAAGCACTAAATCATATGAACATCAAGAATCACATACATACATATGTATGTACGTACCTATCTATATTTTATGTACTTGCATGCTTTTATAACAACATTATGTTTTTCTCTTTCTTTTTTATTTGAATTATTCGACATTTCGGTTCGAATTTCATGTAATAAAGAATTAAGATTATTTGATAATAGTATTATTTTGTACTCATGTAATTACGTTTGTAGATAAATACATATGTATACCTAGATATTGTGTGTAAATATATTTTTGGTTTATTTTCTCTTTCATTTCTATATCTGTCCTTCTGACAAATACATTCGATTCTTTCTATTGGATAAAATATGTATGTGATGATTCCCATTAACATTAAGAAGTAGTGTAGTACAAGAAGAAGAAAAAAAAACAAAAAAAAATGTGAAGAAGATTCAATCCCATAGTGTTCGGTGCGATAACAAGATAATAAAATTTACTTAATATTTTAAGCATTGCATTGCATACTTTTTACTCAAGTAATTTTAGAAAATTTTCAATTTTGATCTGATTATGGATTAAATAAAAAGTAAAATAGAGAAAAAAAAAACAACAGGGAAAAAAAGGACCAAAAAAAAAATTGGGATAAAGCAGACAAATTGTTACTTTATTAAATTTTGATGTATGGTTTAAAAATAAATTCAATTTAACACAATTTTTTTGAAGAAAATTTCATTTTATTGGAATATAGGTAAGAAAATTAATTGGAAAAATAATAGGTACAAAATTGTGATAAAGTATTGTTTTAAAGTATATTTTTGATCAGTTGTTGTCTCGAGGTACACAAAGCTATATGAATATATTTTAGAGTATGGAATCAAAAAATGGCTAACATTGAAGAATATTTTGCAGAGATTACAAGCATTCGTAAATATAAATACCCTTGACATCCAATTTGCAAATATAATCGCCAACCTAGCACTAGTAAAGCGCTTGAAAGCAATGTTTACTAAGCAAATTGTTACATTGCTTACAATTTGCATTTTGGATCAGAATTTGAGCTATACGATTTACGTCATAGACATTATTGTAATATCATTTTTCTCTGTTAATTCTCATGTGTTGAATACACATATATTTAATATTGGCAGATATTACACGATACACTAAACCCCATATGGCCTGAAAAAACATATTATCTTTCCATTTTTTTAAGCTTCAACAACACTTAACCGAAAAATGCAAACTAAAAAAATTAATTTGCGCTAGAAGCGCTTGTTTTGCGCTATCAAAACCTGAAAAATGCAACATGAATCATTAAAAACATAGTCAGCATTTTTAAGGTTTGTAACTTGGATCTTGTGATTTTTTCTTATTTTACGCTTTATTTGCCAATTAGATGTCAAGGTGGCGAAATATTCTGGTGAAAACAAAGATTAGACGAAGATTTGGGCTAGGTCTGCAGTAATGGTTTTATGCGGCTATATAGTTAGACATAAATAGTTCATCCTAATCAATTGCGAATTTAATGAAATTTTGAAATTGGAATGAAATTTTCCGATGATTTCTAATGATTGCAAATTATTAATTTCATTTAAGAATGTTTATGTAAAATAGCCCTTTACCAATATGTGTATGTGGTATGTAATAATGTAAAAAATATTAGTTGAGTCTTAAATAATTTTTTTTTTCTATTTCTTCTTTTGGAATAACCATATGAAAAAAAAATATTTTTTTTTTTATTTCATTTATTATTTATTTTTCAATCACCCATTTTTATATTATGTTTTATGATATTACATATACATATACATCCCCATACACATATGTACATAATATATAATGAAAATTAATCAAGTTATAAGTTGTTGAAGAAATTTGATATCTTTTTGATTTGATAATTTCGTAATGTAACAACCCAACTCTTGACTATTTATTTAATATTTAGAATGTTTATAATATATTCTCTCTCTCTTTCTCGTTCTTCCTCTTCGTCTCTCTCTCTCTCTCTCTCTCTCTTCAGTATGTATGGTGTGCGTCTAAGGTACGGTAGTAAATTTTAATAAATTTTTTCTTTTATGAAGATTTCCTTTCGTTTCCCTTTGCTTTTATATTTTTATTTACTTGTGTCATGTATTAAAACGGACTAAAAGGAATTTCAATTTTATTAAATTTGGCATTTTAGCATAAAATATTCTATTAAAATCTAATTCCTTATATATGTATATATATATATACAATTACAACTCAATGTTATATTTTGTGCCTGCGTTGTAAGCTAATTTTTTTTTACAATATTTATAATATTCAACTGTGAATGAATTATGTGATGGTAATGTCCTTTAATTCCTCTTTTTTATGTTAGCTTTTTATTATAAGGTATAAAGGAGCAAGTAAATGTATAAATATATTTATATATATATATGTATATATATAAATATGTGGAATTTTTGTTGCCTTCAAATAAATTTATATTCAATTATAACAAAATGAAATAATCCTTATGTTATCCTTTTTTGTTATATTTTTTTGTTTTCAGACAGTTTATCAAGATTGAAAGTGATCTTTTCGCATTCTATTATCAGTTATTAACATCTTCTTTACTTTATTATCCTTTTGTATATATATAAGCACATCATATATATATGCATACATGTATAGATATACACAGAGAAAAAATATATTACTAAAATTTTTTTTTTGTTCTGTTATCTTTAGCTTTTAATCGATAATTGTATTAGCATAGTTTTTAGTTAAATAAAATAAATTATTATCTCGTAATAAAATAATATAATAAAAATGTATATAAAAGGAAAAATAATAATAATAATAATGAAAAGAATAAAAAAAAGTTGAAATGAAAAAGGATATTTTTGTTAGTTTGTTGCTTTTTTTCTGGTTGCAAATAAGTTGATGTTATTTTGAAAATTTCCTAATTATTTAATAAGATTTTTATTTTTTTCAAGAGAATTTATAAATCTATGTAATTACCAACACGCGCGTATGCATTTAAGATTACAATAATTTTTTTTTTTTTGAATATTACAAAAAATATTATTAAATTGTCTTGTACTTACATGGATGTGTTGGGGCAAATGGATATTCCAGTGTTGGTAATCTTGGTGGATGTGGTCCAGCTGGATGAAGTGTTGGAGGACAATGATAACAAAACATACCTCTGCCTGCTCCGGCAGGACTCAACTAAAATAAAAGAAAACAAAATATATAAATGGTTAAAATCAAATTTTATATACTGAGAAAAAAATTAATTTATTGGTTTTTTTATTGCTTATACTAAACTATATATTATTAAATATACCAACTATTTGTACCTAAAAAATAAATGTAGATTTTGGGAAAACTAGTCATATTTAACAAAATCCTGCAGTTTAATTACAACAAAATTTAATGATTAATTTGAGAAAAAGTCCTTTAAAAACAAAAGTTTTTTCAAAAGCGATTCCCCAATGAGTTTACAGAAAATAAAATAACTATTAAGAGCAAAATTCTGAGAATTCATTCTTATTAGTATAGGTTAGTGATTTGAGTGTTATTCGAGGAGAATTTTTTTTTTTATATTTTTTTTTGCCATAACAGTTAGTTCCGGTATATTTTAGTCATCTATTTGGCTTGCAGTATTTTCAAAATTATATAAGCTAATGCAAGTATTTAGACGGGACATTGCTCTCACTTGAGAACTTTGCACCTAAAAGCAAAAAAAAACTGCAGGAGGCAGATAACAACTCGGTAAAAGTCTCCCGTGCATTAATCAAAGAGAAGACATGATCTTTCGAACATTGCATTTGCGTAGCGATGGATAAGTGGGGACTTCATTTTCAAAAGATTTTCGAATCTTCCATCAGATAATTACGGGATACGACAAAATTTTCAGGCATGTGGAGATTGAAAGAGGAACATAATATATTTTTTCGGATCGCGGTTCATTTCTAAAATTCAAGTCAACAAATTTAGTTAATACATTGCTTTTAAAAATATTTCAAATAATATTTATTAGTGAACTCATTAAATATAATTTATAATAAATATATATATATATATAATTAGTTTAACTACACTTCTCTTTAACATAAAAATATTTTTAATTATCACTTTTTTTGAAATAAACCTAAATATATTTTTATTATTCTATAAATGATAAAACCAACTAAAAATAACAAAAACTAAAATATTCATAAATTAAAAATTTTTTGGTAAAAATATTTAGAAACGCATATACTAAATTTTTTAATATAAAATTCCGTGGCCACTAAAAATTGAAATTAATATTTTATTTTCTATATTTTTATAGAACCAGTTTTTATTTCATTAAATTTCTATATTTCTTTGTATATGAATTTTCATTAAAATAATTATTCATACTCCTTTGAAATTTGACACAAAAAAAAACAATAAAATTGTTTTCAGTTTCTCTCTCTAAACATCGCATCGTATATGGTGCAAGGATACTCGTGTATACAACAATATAAATAAAACATTACCGAGTGTATTCAACTAAATTTAAAAAATAAACTAATTTTCTAATAATTTTCTAAATCTATTTGCATATTTTTCAATTAAAAAAGCAAAAAATAATAAAATTTTCTTTTTTTGAATGTCATCACATACCGCAATATTGACGAAAATCCAAATAGAAAATTCTATTTAACGGGAATATATATAGGTATATGGAGTTTAGACTCTTTTAATTGGATATATTGTATACTTTAAGTAAAATTATGCTGAAATTATCACCGGTATGTACATACATTACGTTTATATAGGCTTATTTAATTAATGCCGTGTATATTAAAAAAATCTAAATTGAAAAATCCATTAGAAATGAAATTCATAAAATTTTCACTTCAAAAAATTCAATAATTCCAAATTATGCCCAAAATTTCATTGCACCCATATTATATAAAACATAATTATACAATTAAGTATATATATATATATATATATATATATGCAATTCACTCTCATTATTTCCGTGTCGTTCATTTAATGAGTTAAATTGAAATTAACTAAGAAGGACATAATTATATCTCTGTATGTCACGTATTATATATATCTAAACTAAATTCTATAAATGCCTACCTATATATTTGTTAAATACAATATAAAAGAGTTCTCTTTTTAGGCAAAACTTTCACCATCAGCAAAAAAAATAAAAATAACAAAATTTTTTATATGACAATTTTCATCAAAATCTGCACCCACAATCGAATTTCCTTTTTGGTTTTTAACTTAAACTGTCACATATTATATTATGTTTATATGTTTGTATATTATATATATGCATACACTAAATTCCAAAACAAAAAGAAAATAAATCCACTTTTCAATTTTTTAAATTTGTTACGAGTATAAGCATTCTAAGTCCATCAGTTTCGAACAATATTATTACACGTGTAAAAATATACACGATAGAATAGTTGAAAAATTCACAATATCATTGTGAATAGCATTTTGCAGTTCATTTTACAACATAAATGTATGTATATATTCTATAGCATATATAGAATGTGCATACGGCACCTATATAAAATAGTGGTAAAATTGCATTTTAAAATTTAGGCTAACTTATAAAGAAGAAAAAAGCGGTGAATATAATCCGTATAACGTACATATATGGGCCGGATATTAGATTAAAATTTTCCAAAAATTGATTTGCGTATATCGTCATAGTCTCAATATATGTATATACACATACCTGTATAAGTGTAGTTATAAGCAGAAAAAAAAAACTTGCAATTTGTAATTGCAATTGAATGATCTAGGTATATATTGAATTATACGTATATCACAAGCTTATAAAGCGTATATCACTAGCTATCATAAACTGTACAACATATAATCGAGTACAGAAATTATTTAATTGACTACCGGCTCGACAACATATTATCATCGACACCCATTTCAAGTTTTTTTTTATCGTATTATTTTAATCATATTTTGTATTTTTGTTATACAAGTATATGTATATTAAATTATTGTTATATACAAGTATATACGAATATTTATTGGAATTATTTCGTTACTATAATATTATTTCAATATACATAAATATGTACATACATATATATGCTGTTGATATTATTGCTTAACTCTTGTATAATACATTTAAAGGCATACATAAATGTGGTATACTTAATTCAATAGAAATTCACTAAAACCGGTAGTTGTCCGTCCATATCTATTTCATTCGAATAATTATAAGTTTAGGGGGAATTTTGTATGCTTGTTGTCATATTAATTTTTAACATTTTAGTATATATATAGAGAGGGGAATAGAATAATATGCATATGCATCAGATATATAATATTATAAATGGAAGGATTGCACCTATAATAAATTATAGCTAAATATATGTATATGTGTATAAAAAATAATTGTGTTGAAGCAATGTGATGAGGCGATGATAAGTCGCCATAATATAAATTCAATAGTAAGTTTTTAAATATCGGAATATACATAATATATATATATATGTAGTAACTTTTATATCGAGTAAAATGAGGCTGTATTATTATTAAGAGTGTATATATGAGAGTGCATATTGTATAATTGTGTATATATGAGAGTGTTTATATTGAATTATTTTAATCAATCACATTTTATATTAGAATTTTATTTAATATTTTGTACGGGAATACTTTGTAACATTTTGTAATATTTACAATTACGAGTTACGTATTGCTAGTAATTATAACATTTTTTATTACAGCTAATTATATTATTGAAATTTCTATTTTCCAAATATAATTTTCATATGAACTGTGTATTACAGATTAATTGTTAATATTATACAATATTTAAGTATGTATGATCGTCTTTAATATTAATTAAATCTTGTTGAGAAAGTCTTAAAAAATTATTAAAAACTATTAAAACCATCTGTCGGAATAAATGTTCGCAGTTATTCTCAATTTATTGTTTTATTTATAAGGTAGAGTAAGGGTGTGAGACAATAAAATTGTTAATAATATCGCGAGAATTTTAATATTAAGCTTTATTACACAACGACCAACTAATTTACCCTAATCCTATTATTAAAGGATTTTTTTTTGTGAATAAACAATCTAAAAAATAATTTTCTTATTAACTTCAATAAAAAACGAGAAAAAAAATAGAGTTGAAATTTCAGTACTATGTGTTTTTCAAAATACTGGTTGTGCCAAACTACTATTGAAGTTGTATGGCAGCTACCAGAAAGAGCCAAGAAATTTTAGCGAATTTTATCAAGCACATCGGCCCAACTAATATATTCACTTGTGTGAAATCTCAATATCACAGCTTTTATAGTTTCTGAGATATAGCCAAATAAATTTTGAAGTTGTATGGCAGCTACCCGAACCGGTACCCCGATCATGTCCAATTTAAGTAGGATTCTGACACTTACTACAATAAATCATTTGTGAAAATTTGGTGAACTTATCTCAATTAGTTTTTGAATTATCGTTCGGACGGACAGACAAAGCTAAATCAACTCAGAATTTGACGCTGATCAAAAACATACACTTGAGTCTATATCTAACACCGTTATTTCTTAGCGTTACAAACGGTAAGGCAAATTTAATATACCCTTCGAACATACGTTCGTACGGGTATAATGAATATTCCACCGAATCATGAATAGGATTTTGTTCTTTTAGAATCGAAATCAAATAATTTAAATTTCGCACGATAGTAAATGAACCAAACCCACAATAGTAATTTAAACAAAGGTTTTGAAGTGTTTTCTTTCATACCTTTCCTGCGAATATTTGCACGTTTCACAACATAGTCGTTATGATTATTTTTGGAAAAAGAAATACTAAAAATTAAAAAGGTTTTTATAAGTTATTAAGGATCTCACTTGAAAACAATAAAGGTATTCTTAAGTGGTTGCCACATTATTGTAAGAACACATGCACATTCATACATCTTCTTAAATATTAATTTATAAAATTAACATACATTCGCATTCAAGAACTTTTATTAAATTTAGCCAACAAAAGTAAGAAGCAAATTCAAATTTTAATCCTTAGTTCAAAGGGAAAGATTAAAATCTATATTATTATTGTCCTTTTATAATAATAAAAAAATTTATTTATAAAAAATTTTATCTTGATATTGCACATATATGGGATAACATAGATGGGGTTCATGGATAAAGAAATTATAATTTTATTTAAACCTCCTTATATAGTTAAATTAA